CGCAATTTGACGACAGGTTGTGTTTCACCGATTTAAACTGCTTTATAAGTCGTAATAAGATGATAGCTTCTCCGACATCAAGCCTGCCTAAGGCAAGTTTGCCAGCACGTCCAAGCACCGGTGTATTTCAGTGGTGGAATACTGGGCTGGCACGCAGCGAACCCAAGTTCGTGCCCCACTGTGTCATTGGTGCTAGGTTTTTTTCTTCTGATTTCGTGCGATGTGGTTACTGACACCAATAGCGGAATACTACGGTGGCGCGTGACCCAAGTTGTGATCTCACAACAGCTTTCGCTGTAATAAGATCAATTTAATCGGAGTAGATAAGGTATTAGCCCAACATAAAAGAAAATATATTTTTTTCATTTCTTCCTTGCGAGCCTCGTAGCACTTATGTCGCCACGCCGTTATAAAGGAGACGCTCATAAAATCGATACATTCCAACACAGAGAGAGAGAGAGAGAAGGCATAGACAATACGCGACAACACGTCGCCTGGACGAGAAAGGAACCCGCCACGACGAAACCGAAGAGCGAACGCGCAATGTGTACGGCGCATACGGCGACATCTACGACACGGAAGACAATTAAAAGGCGCTTCGCGAGAATTCTACGACACCGTTCTTAACTGCAATAATAGCGAAAGTTGCACTAGTTGGTGGTTCATGCTTGGGATGTAAAAACAGCGCAAAAAATATATACAAGAAGAGAGGAAGAGACGACACCGTGCTGAACTCGCTACTAAAGTTTATTTGAAGACACACGCACATATATCATGCAGTCGACCCGGTCACGTGGCAAACAAAAAGCGTCTGTGCAGCATATCAAACAAGGTGCGAAACATACCTAATTTTAGAGAGCAGCAACACGTGTGTAATACATCTTCATACTTTCCAAAAACATACGCAACAGTCCATAACATGGCAGCGAATAACCCAGGTAACAAACGTCCTTTTCACCGAGGGCCAAAGACGGCTTACTCACACACCTTTCCCCCTCCTTTTCAATGAAATAAGCCTCCATCACTTGCCTATAGAGCACTTGTCCCGATGCATAAAAGAAGTTCCGGTTTACGAAATACCTGAGCGTTCTGTCCGGAGAAGAGAAAAAAAATAGATATGTTCAGTGTAAATCGCGTGTTGTATATATGTGGCCATTGTCATGCGGGGGGAGGGGAGGGGTGGGATTTACAGGAAAAACCGGGCGGTGCCTAAACGAGAGACTAAGGGAACATTTAACCTTTTTAACGGCTGCTGGCAGGTTACACTTGCCAGCTCATTGTAGGAAGTGTGGTTGCCAACCAATGGCAGATAAAGCCACATGCTTGTTTGGTCACCAGGACAAGTGCACTAGGTAAGTGATGGAGGCTTTTTTCATTGAAAGGGAAGGGGAAAAATGTGTGAGTAAGCCGTCTGTGGCCCTTGGTGAAAAAGAGGTTTGGTACCTGGGTTATTTGCTGCCATGTTATGGACTGTTGCGTATGTTTTTGGCAAGTATGAAGGTGCATTGCACACGTGTTGCTGCTCACTAAGATTAGGTATGTTTCGCACCTTGTTTGATATGCTGCGCAGACGCTTTTTGTTTGCCACGTGACCAGGTCGACTGCATGATATATGTGCGTGTGTCTTCAAATAAACTTTAGTAGCGAGTTCAGCACGGTGTCGTCTCCTCCTCTCTCCTTTTCTATATTTTGTGCGCTGTTTTTACAACCCAAGCCGTTCTAAATGTCAACTCTCCTATTTTGCTTGTACATCCCAAAAGAGGGTCAAGTGAGCATCCAAAGAGAAATGGCCTGTCAGAATCCTCTTTTGACTCTTTTGTCACAGTGTAGCTTTCATGCTTGCTGGCTTCAAGCACACTTGTGGATATGTTTACTGTGTTTTGGTTTTGTTTTTAATAAAAAAACGGATTGTTGTGAAGTTTGTGACCTGATTTAAATTGGTGAGCCTAAAAGGTTCAGGTGACCGAAGTGCAACACCTGAAGATTTGCATATTGTTGTTAGAAGACAAACCAGCTCTAGACCACGCGAATCCGAATTCCCTCTAGTGTCTTTATCGTAAACTATTGTTGCATAAACAGTTATTCTAGATAAGGAGGGCGGATAAGGATAAGGGCGAAGTATACGGTCACGGCAATTTTTCGACCAGCTCCCGGGGTCTTCGCAAGGTGCCCAGCGGAAAGTCAGTGGCTCCTTGGGTTGATGCATGACGACTCATTAAGGTGACACAGAGACCAACATGGTGCCTGTCGTCTTCTTCGTCGACGCGCTTACTTTGTCATGCAAGAGTCCGAATTGTGGCAGTTCTTGTTTTCTGCGGCTAGCTCGAATCTCCTTGATGGTGTCGGATGCTTATTCGTGACTTTTGCTGGAATCACAGCTTTACGGGAGCGTCGGGATCATGAACAAACAGCACCTTCCCCACTGAGTAACATAATAATGACAAGAGTGGTCACTCGGGCCAAAAAGCGACTGAGCTACGCAGCTTCACCCCAGGCGTAAGACAACAACGCATTGCTTTTTTCTTGAAGGAAATACGTGTGCAAGTTACTTACTAAAGTACCTTTTCTAGTGCATTATACGACTACGTGTGTTTGCGTATCTGACAACGGCCTGAATTTTTCTTTATCATCTGTGAGTGTACGATGCGATAATGTCGGGCAGGGATAAGGCCTGAATCGGATGCGAGAGAAGTGCCCATGGCGTCGACGCGATGGCAACGTTGTCATGCTCCGTGTTCGTGGGCATTTACGACAATGAAAAAGTACAGCCAGCAGTAGGGAGATGCCATAAAAGATGTACGATAAGGCGCCCGGCGTGCGTCGTGGGTTTCCCTTGTTCCGTTTGCCTTTCAACTTGGCTGCTTCTAGGTACGAACGCCATCAATACTTTAAGTGCGTAATGAATTTGTCATTGAATTCCTAACCTAACGTTTGTGGCATTGCGCTTTTCGGCAGAGATCTTTCTTGTTTTGGGAAACCCACATATCTATCTATCTGGAATGTTCCGCAGAAAGTTTGCGTGAAAATTCTTTCTTGGCTCAAGAAATTGAGTCGCCTATCGCGTTGTCAGGTTTTCTAGATAGATAGGCATGTAGGGTTTATCGTCCGAAAACCACCATATGAATATGGGAGACGCCGTAGTGGAGGGTTGAGGAAATGTCAACCATTTGGGGTTCTTTAACCTGCACCCGAATTTGAGCACACGAACCTACAACATTTCCACCTCCATTGGAAATGCAGCTACCGCAGCCGGGAATCAATGCCGTGACCGGCGGGTTGTCAGCTTTTCTTTGTGCCGCTACTGGTATTCGAATTCACTGGATGAGTGACATTCTGTGAAAAGTGCAAGCATGCTCAGTATTGTCTTCTGTGCCGTTGTCAAATTGTTGAAGCTCTAACGAGCGCAATAAGAAAGAAGTGGTGAATCTAGAAAAATTTTGCTAGCTTAAGCTAGGACGTACACAATGAGTAAACACTACCTTGTTAACAGCTGGCGTGACACCCAATAATTGTTTTCTTTTGCTGCGGCTACTGCTTGTGACTGTTTTTCGCGAAAGAGCAATGTAAAGTGTGCAGGAGAAATTAAGTGCGAAGATGAGAAAGAAAACGCAGCCAACGTCTCTTTTTTTTACGGTTAATCCGGAGTCAAGTGCTGAGGCAGCTACTGCCGTGTCGCGTTGTGCTGTGTAAGTGTAGTTGTGTGAGTGTGATTATTGCAGTGTTACTCTGATGCGTTTCTTATATTGTTGCCTATATCTTTATTTCTTGTGTGTAACTTATATTCATGATATGGCAGTGGTAATTGCGCGTCTCATACTGCAGTGGACGTCTTTGTGCCTACATTTATTGAACATTACAAAGTGGGTATCTGCTCATCAAGATTATCACTTTAAAATAAAGTTTATGCACATTCAATGATTCTCGTGTTTTAATTGAAATGTGTGCATAGACACACACTCGCATCGTGTGCTTGTCGCTCTAGCGGTGCAGCTTACACCAAGCTCATCGATGCATGCAAACGACGCGTTAAAGAATGAAGTATGGCCTCAGAGTCGAGCTCGCACGTAAATGTGGGGTCGGAGGCTGTATAATATTTCTAGTCATTTCAAAATGACCTTCGAGACAGCCTTTTTTGTGGTCTGCCATCTCTGAAGCTGGAATGTTTCCCACAGCCGTTTGGTGCGCAGCGAACCCAAATCAGCCGCAGGGATCTATGGAAAAGTCATCTCTTAACCTTTTATCTTACGGTAAGCCTACACTATTTGTCAAGGGGTTGTGAATTGTGAGAAAAGCTCTGTTTGGCTGAAATCATGGCTGGGAGTAAAAAACATAAGTGAACAGCAAGCAAGGCTTGCTGTTCACTTATATTGTTGAACAGAGCTTCGGCCGTCGATAATCTAATCATCGCTCGAACGCACCGCATTTTGTACTTGTTACATAATTAAAAATCGACCATGTTATCACTGGGGCTCACGCGAGCTTCGGTATACACTTCACTCTTTCGCGTTCTACGAGTAGTATTAACAAAATAATCTCAAACCACGAAGTTTTCCAGCGTTGTGACGCAATGTTTGCTGAGCCTTTATAGGGTTTTTTTTTGTGCGTGCAGTCCCAATACGTAAAAATGAAACTAATACGTTTGGCAGTATGATTGTGAGAGACGCTGTGTAGTGAAGGCCTCCCATGATTGTGAGAGACGCTGTGTAGTGAAGGCCTCCCGAAATTCGGACCATCCAATGTTTTTTTTTTAGTGCAGCGAAATCACAAAGTAAACAGGTATCCAGTTTTTTGGAGCCATCAAAATGGTACCGCCGCGGCTGGGATTGGACACGCGACCTGGAGCGTTGTACTGCTCCATTGTAGGGGCGAGTCAATCAAACAATAAGCATGCAAGAAAGAGCATTGCGTATGAAAACTATGCACCAGTCTATTGAACAACACGTCATACAATTACCAATAAATATCGGACAGAAAAAGAGCAGCCGACAAAACAGCATAGATTTCGTGGCAAAGGCAAATGTTTATTATGAATCATCGCTGTGACAACTCGGATAAACTACAGTGAAGATGTGATCTGGGTGAGTTTGTAGCACATCCTTAAGAGCAGCAACCATCCAAGAAGCTATGCAAAGAGGAGATAAGTGCACCAAACTATGGCTGGACTGACAACATGCATCTGTCCAGTGGTTATGCTTGCTGCAATAAGAAGTCCCTCCACTGTGATTTGTGTTTTGGCTAGTAAACTGACAATTATTTCACCTAAAACGTAAGCAGAGCAAATTACTTACAACAGACTTTATAACGTGAAAAGTGTCTTTATAACTGAGAATGAATAACATTTAATAACCAAGATTAACAAAGAAAATGACTAGGTGCCTTGAAAGTTTTCAATAGTTTTAGGGTAAACACACAAACAAGACACAGAATGGCAGGCGAGTATTGTGTTCGGTAACAGTATACGGCACCCAAAGCTATGAAGCGATAAATTCAGCCCTATACTTTGCGATTCAAGTGTAGTTTTTAAAGCACGCACTTGCAGCACAAACAGTAACGACGGCACTTTTATGAATATTAGTAATATGCATTGCAGTATATATAGTTCCTCATCTCTATAAAATACTTCATAATTCGAGACTGATGCGACAAGAAGCTGCAAAAGTTGCAAAATATGTGACTTTTCTGGGCATGCCTCTGTTTAGGGCGCGTTCTTGTCTTTAGAGGCACGTTTTAGGAACACAGTCATCCCGGCACTTACGTTTCTTTATCATTGACAACATATGTAATTGAAGAATACAAATTTGTCTACAAAAAACATAATCATCAACTACATATGTTAATAAAAAACAAACGTAAACGTCGGCTTAATTCTGTTCGTAAAACGTCCCTTGAAAGACTAAAAAACGCACCCTAAAAACATACGTGCCCAGAAAAATCACATATTTTGGAACTTTTGTAGCTTTGTGTCGTACCGGTCTGGGAATATGAAGTATTATATAGAGATGATGTACTATACTGCAATGCATATTGCTGATATTCATCTTTTTTGGGCCACGTCAGTCACTGGGATCGCCATCTCGCCTGAGGGAAATGTATAATGAACTACTAATGTAATTTGAATTTCCAATTTCAACTGAAAATGGCATCAAGTCACGCTTAGAACCAGTTAATTCACCACGAGCGCATAACTTAGGCAACAAGGATGTGTCAAGATGTTGACCACAAGTAGTTCCTTGCAGATAAGCGCATTGTAGCAAAGGTGCGCAGTCCACGTCCACGTCGTATCTCAGCCTCCGAAGTTCACTGGAACCACTAGAAGTCACAAAAGCTCCAATATCGGGTAAGTCATCAGGTACACTAATGGTGTTGTCGACTGCTACTCAGAACTCAAATAGAGAGGGTATACTTATGGCGACTTCAATTATTCTGACGATCCTGGAAGAAAAAAATTTCCTGAGTTATAGAAACACTGATTCCTGTCTTGTAATACACAAATTTGTAAATTAATTCCCTGAAATCATTTGAATAGTGTAAAGAATTCATAGGCAGGGCACCAAATGTGCATGTCAAAATAACGTGGTCCTTGTATGATACTCGACCTATGAAAAAGGAAGATGAATGAACCAAACTTCGTAAACTATGATTCGCATGAGCAGAGCTAAGCACTTGTATCCACAAGACAAATTCCTAATGTCACACGCTCTTTGTCGTGAAAAAGTTTCCGTGGCTGAAGTTCTTGCACGCGTCACCAAAAAATACACGCCTGAACCAGATGGAACAATCGTGAGTGTATTGGAACGTTGTGATCAGGTAGTTCGCAGAGTGTCTGTGGTTGAGTTTAGGATTTGACTAATGTGAGGAGCAGGCATAATACCGATAGATTAGTTGATGCGTGTACATGTTCCAGCCGTTTTGCCCACACGTCTGGTTATGGTTAAGTGACTAGCGGTCTCCACACTATCAGCCATTGCTAGAATTTCATTTTCCAGGCACGAGCTTCATCCACTAAAGTGCCGCGTTTTCAGCGGATGATAGTTACATTATTCACTGATGGAAACACGCGTCTATACTTGAAATTCCTCACTAAACTCGTTGTTTAATATATAATCATGCTCTTTTCCACTTGGTCACAAAGAAAGAACAAAAGAGAGGTACCTGCTATCGTTGAGTCGTGGTGAATCATTCTGTATGAGATGTTCTGGGCAAATGTGCTCACGAAGGTCCATATCATCGTAATCAGGGAGATTATAAGTCTGTATTTCCGTCTCATCGGGATTCCTCAACCTAAACAGGTGACACACGAAGGGAAGCATAAAATCTCTGTACGGTGCTGTATATGCGGACACTTCAACATCGATCCGTGCTTTCCCACTTCGCAAAGTGACTGCTCTGGTAGAAGAGCCCAGGTGACCGTCTGACCGCCGATATGCGAAGAGTCAGGTCAGAAATGCAAGAATGAAAGATCAGAAGCGCCCTCGTGAAAGTCTCCCATTCCTTGAGATGATCTGCAAGCAACAGTGAAGCATCGGTATTTATCCCAAGCACAGTGATTTTTTTTCTACATTCACGTGTATATTTCATGCTCTCGCAAACTCTGGAAGACAGCTTTGGCTTAATGACAATTGAATACCCTTATATTTTTCGCATTAGAAAAAGTTGTCTGATTCAGGAGCACTTAACCTTGCCTCTGTGTCACTTTGCTGTATGCAGTCACAAATACTAAGGAAAGCTAAGGAAACAATTGAAAATGTCTTATTGATCGAGGTGCCTAAAGGCGAGCTTCGGCAATTTTTTAGATCAATGATTCTCAAATAAGTTCGCGGGGTGCGGTCCTTTGCACATTTCCGTCATTTTTGTCAAAATACATCCTGAGAGATGCACTGATTGTTTGCAAATAAATTTTAAAGTTTGGCTCAAAACGTTCACCTGGCATGCCAGAATTATTGACGCTGTCTGTGACGTCACGTTTGGAACGTCAATGTAAGTGACACAGCCGATGGCATCGCCGACTTTGGCCGCTGCAGCGCTTCCTGCTCTGAGCACAACGCGAGGGCGGTGGTGTTGGGCACGGAAAAGCTTTTTCCTTTGTCTGTGGTGTTTGACCGGCTCCGCTCGGTGCGCTCGCGTCTGCCCCGAGTGCCCCATCGTCCCAGCTTATACAGTTTTCATACACCACACCGGGGTTACAAAAACACGACTTCCGGTTTTCCACCAAATGTGCGACTCCAGCTGAGCGCTCGCCACCTAGCGGCCGTGCCTGAAAGAAGTGCTGACTGGCTCAACTTTGAAAAGAGATATGTTACCAGGTCGTGCGTGTTGAGAAGCGGCCGCTTAGTTTTTTTTTTAGGTCACACGCGCGATCCCGAAAAAAGAGCACGTGATTTCCAAAGCACCATCACAGTGCGTGGCATTGTGGTGGAATGATGGCGCCGTATCATTCAATCACTTTCCGACTGATGCCGAAAGACGCGCGACGGTGAACGGCCCAAATCAGAAACTAACGCATTCGAAAAAGTGTGACTGACACTAAGGTATTTTGTTCTAATTCGCATGCGACGGCTTCACTCTCTTCGGTGAGTACACCTTTATTACGCCTATGTGCTTATTATATATATTCGGGCGTCTCAAAGCGTGGAGTATAGTTTCGTTTATATAAACCAGCGCATAGGAAAAGTTGTTGCGTTACGTGTGCGAGTATTTATCGCATATTCTCGCTTCCTGTGCAAGTCGAATGCGTTCTCAAATCAGGCTGCGGTAGATTCCTCCCACCCCCAAGCATGTATTTTTTTTGTTTCGCATGTGAACACTTACACGAAGAGATTCGGGTGCATGTGTAAGAAGCCCAGGCGGTCAAAATTTCTTGAGCTCTCTACTACGGCGTCTCTCATAATGATATGGTCATTTTGGAACGTTAATCCCCACATATCAATCAATCAATTGACGCACACAAAAGGGCACATTTTAGACACCAACACGCGTGAGTACATGTATGTTCATGCCTGTATAATCACTTCCGTGCATTCTTAGGGTGCATAGTGTGTGTGCATACGTCTGCTCTGAATATCAACTGTTGCCAACACGAACAAGGATGTTCGGAAGCACATGAACTTATTCATTAGAAATTTATTAACATATATGGATCAGCGAAATAACAGAAAGGAGCCCGCCTAGTACAATTGAAACTACAATTTGTCCTATCTCAAGATACGCTGGCCCAGATATAGAACCGTTCTGTGTTGAAGGGAATGACCTGCGTATTCAGCTTTTGTCAGGACAACGGAACTCAATGACATACAACAATCGACAGTTCGAATTACAGCACATAGTTACCTCGAAAACTGTCAAGACGTTCCCTGTAGCAGTGCAGCAATGCAGGGCCAACGTGTTACCTTTCAAGGAGGTCTGCTACACATGAGCATTTGCCTTCTTCAACCGCGAGCTCACAAGAAAGGTTCTTCAACTTTCAAAAAATTAATGTGGTTCGCCGAGAAAACTTGATGTTTAGGCGCACAGCACAACTATTTCCGCTGTTTCACCAAGTGAAATTCTTTATGCTAATGAAAACGAGGTGGTCTGCGGCCAGCATCCTTTCGCCTTCGACGAAGCAACGTGATCCGACGCAAAATCGACTAACAACACCGAAGTGAAAATGCCGCCTTGAGCCCGTTCAGCGCAGCCATCTTTGTTTTTTTCGATCAGTGTTGCCTGCACACGCAGCGTTTTCTGGAATCACGAATAGTTTGTCTTACGCAGGCAGTATTCTCGGTTGTGTTTCACTATTGTGTTTTCTTGCAGACTAAAAAAATTTAGAATTTGCTGCGCATGTCAGCTATCGAGCTTGTATCAAAAGTGTCTAAGGAACAAGCATCATCACCATGTCTTGGTCGAAAAAGTACCTGCGTTGGCCTTTAACATGACCTTTTGGCTTTAATAAGTCTTTTGTTGGCGTAGAAAAATTGTGAGCCCCAGCCTGTCAAAGACTATGCAAGAATGTCCAAATTTCAGCACCACAACCACAGCTGGTGAACTAATGTTCTACTGGTTATAGTACATCTGGTAGAAGCGCGGGCTCCGTCGAAGGACGGCGCTGATCAGCAACATTGTGGGATAAGCGACGGCGCATGCAGGAAGTTTTCTCCAGACCCCACGTCTTACCAAAAACTTTAAAGGCTCAACTCTCAGTAATAAATAATCGGGTTCGAATCCCGGCTGCGGCGGGTGCATTTCCGATGGAGGCGGAAATGTTGTAGGCCCGTGTGCTCAGATTTGGGTGCACGTTAAAGAACCCCAGGTGGTCGAAATTTCCGGAGCCCTCCACTACGGCGTCTCTCATAATCATATGGTGGTTTTGGGACGTTAAACCCCACAAATCAATCAATCAATCAGTAATAAATAAGTACTTGCAATTAGGCGATAAATTTTGGAACGCTTCGGGGTTTGCGGGTCATTGTTTGATAGCTTACAGCAGGGCTTCTTGCATGAACGACTTGATGCCCCTTTTGCAAGTTTCAACACCTCGGGCTTGCAGTATTGCACAAGCATTGGCATGCTCAGCAATCCCATGGTATACTTTTAGACTTGGCGAAAGAATTCGGTAAGGTACCACATCAACAATTGCTACTATAACTGTCTTTGGCTAATGTACACCCCAACATCTTACGATGGATCGAAGCATTCCTTCATAACCGCTCACAGTTTGTCTTTATTAACAACCGCTCATCTGAATCCCTGAAAGTAACTTCCAGAGTTCCACAAGGATCTGTTCTCTGGCCTCTTCTCTTCTTAATATATATTACCGATCTGCCTGCTCATGTAACCTGTTATATTCGCATGTTTGCGGATGATTGTGTCATATACAAAACAAATAATAATACATCTGACCAAAATTCTCTTCAGGAAAATATTAACCGTCTGCAACAATGGCGTGATAGCTGGCTAATGACACTAAACCCAAATAAATGCAAAGTTGTGACCTTCTCCTGCCGACGTAACCCTGTGGCTTATTTATACGCAATCAATAACATGCCATTAGAAGCTGCGTCCTCTTACAAATACCTTTATGTTACCATAACTAATGATTTGCCTTGGAACGCACATATTACTAACGTCATCTCATCTTCTAATAAGACACTCGGTTTCTTTAAACGCCACCTAAAACAAGCTCCTAATCATGTAAAATAACTAGCCTACCAAACCATAATCCTCCCTAAGCTCAAATACGCATGCGCAGTAATGGAGCGCCCACCAAACATATTTAATCAACGCTCTCGAATCTGTACAAAGCCGTGCTACAAGGTTCATACATTCTATATTCATATCAGTGTCAGCGTGTCGTCTTTGCGAAATGAATTAGGACTACCGAACACTTGCTAATCGTCGCCGTGTATCATCCCCTATCTCTTTTCATAAGTTCTATCATTGTTCGCTAATACACCACCATACATTATTCCCGCTGGCCGAACGTCACATCGAACTCAGCACATGAACCAAATGGGCCACCCCCGTACTCGTACTGCACCTTTTTCAGCTTCTTTCTTTTTCCGCACAGCCACAGATTGGAACAGCCTGCCCCACGAAATTGCCGCCCTAACCAACGCACCCACATTCACACAAAAAATATCCGACCATTTTGCAGAATAAAAACTACTGGATGTCGTTTTCATCATTCCGATCGCTTGTATACATTGCAGAATCATGTACCCATATTACTCATACCGTGTTTAATAATGCTTATAAACATGTTACTTCCGACTATTGTATAATGAACATATGCTAAACCCACCCCTTATGTAATGCCCATGTTGGGCTTTTAAGGTAATAAAAAGAAATGAAATGAAATACGCACAGTTCAAAGGCATAAAATGTATTTCACAATAACCGTCATGAAAACCACTCACGCTGACTTACGCTCCCACGTTCAAATGCACGTACATACCCCATAAAGTGGCCGGGTGGGTAACCGCCGTGATAGGTCACTTAGTAGAGCATCGGACGCGTTATTCAAATATTGCAGGTTTCGTCTCTGCCCCCGGCAAGTCATCTTTTCATCCACTTCTTTTTTTTTTCACACTTACACCATTGACATCCCCCATCGTTACCATTACAATGTTGGTTAGGTGTTGTCATTGCTTGAACAGACGAATAAATGTTGAGAGCAATAATTAAAGAAGCGCAACGTCTGCCTGCTTCAATTTGATTTTTTTGGCAACGCGCAGCTGTTTGCAACACATTTTCGTGCGTATCGCAAGCGTTCCTACTATCGCAATTCGCTCATCGTGCAGACAACGCTCCTTACAGCGAAAGCAATTTATTGCAACCTTTTAGAGCTCATTCAGCCCAATTATGCACCAGCGTCTAACTAAATATTCATGTGGCACTGATTGGTGATACCGTTATAGTATCGAGTCCGTACTAATGTCACTGCTTTTATGCTCGGAATCAAATTGAAGAAAAAGCTCGGCCGGGGCCCATTCGAAATAACTGGCACCGATGAAGGACCGAGAAC